ACTCCGTGGGTGCGGGTGTGGCAGGGTTACTGTCCCCATAAGGGACCGACCGAGCTTGCACAGGAAAAAAAAAAACCCAAAGAAGAGCTTCAAGCACAGAAATAAATCAGCAAAAGGAAAAGCTGAAAGGTGTAAATATTCATGACATTTTTTTTTTTTTAAATACCCTCAAAAAGGGTTTTTTTAACTCCCAAAAGCAAGGGGGGGGCAGTTACCCTGCTTACCTGGCACTTCTTTCCGGTGGAGGAATGTCACCTTCCTCATCACAGCGATCTTGGTCTTCTCCAAACCATCCTTGGTGCCGCTTTTGGCCGCTTTCATCAGCTGGGTCATCTGGGCAGGGGGACGAGAGGGACCGGGAGGCTTGAGGCAGCACCGGGACCCCATTTCGGGTCTGGATACAGCAGTGCCACCCCCTTGGGGACATCTCCTCCAAGCACCGTCCCCCATTGCAGGCCTGGATGCAGCGGCATCATCCCCTTGGGAATGTCCCCTCCGAGCATCGGCCCCCATTTTCCCCACCCAGCCCGACGAGGAGGAAGAAGAGGCACGTGGCTGAGGAGGAAGGATGCTCCGGGATCTCTCCCCCCTCCGCAGGGATGCGGCTGCGGGCGAGCAGGCGCGGGCAAAGCGGGAGCGTGCGGCGAAAGCAAAGAGGAGGGAGGGAAGGGATCCATCCCTTCCCCACAGCCAGGGTTTTATTCACACCTCAAACCGCAGCATTTTTAGCCCAAGCTGGTGTCGGCGTTGCCTTCCCAGCCCAAACTGGTCACAAATTGCCAACCTGGATGGGCTGGGAAAGGCTTTGCGCTAAACTTTCTACACTTCCCAAGAATCTCCTTCCCCACCTGATTTCCACCCTGTACTGGGGGCAAAAACCTTCTCAGCTCCATCTATCCCACGGGTGACCTTGCTTCATCCAAATGCCCCTTAAAAAATAAAACCACCCGAAGGCCAAGGGTTTGGGCAGCTGGAGGACAGGGAGCTGCGAGACAGATGGGCGTGAGACAGCTCCGCAGCGCTTAACTCCATGGTTTTTCCTCTTCTGGGAGACAAAACAGCATGAGTTCAGGCTGGATAAACCCCGGGAGGGTTTTTTCCCCCCGCCCTCGCTAGGAAATTTGGGGGACGAGGGACAAAGGAGGGACAGTACCTTCCAATCGTACTTCTGCTTCAGCTCCTGCATGTCTCTCCCCCCAACTCTTAAAGCCAGGATGTCCCTCTTAGTCCTGGCGTATCTCTCCTTTAGTCTATTCAGGTCTGGAGAAAGCTGAGCCCCAAGCAAACCAGGCGGGAGGAGAAGGCAGAGGAAGGCGAGAGAAGGCAGAGAAGAGATGCAGGTAAGCAGCCCAAAAAAAAAAAAAAAAAAGGGGGAAAAAAAACCCCAAACCGACAGGGGGCCCAGGCAATGTCTTCCCAAAATGCAGCTTTGCTTAAGCAGGGAAGGGAGCAAGCGCAGGGAAAGGCAGCGGCCATTCTCCAGCAGTGACGAAATGCAAAAGGAAAGGGGGGGAAGAAACAAAAATAAAGGGGGAAGGGAGAAATAAAAGAAAGAAATGAAACTCCTGAAGTTTCGGGCTGGCTTTGCACCGGGTGACCCCGGAAACCACAGCATCCTCTGCCTCACCCTCCGTGGGAGCAGCTGGGCTTGGTGCTCCGGTGTCTTTACACAAGCAAACCCAGGGGGAAAATAAAAAAGGAAAATAATAATAATAAAAAAATAAATGTAAGCGTTACCTTGGGCTGGAAGGACGCCCGCTGCTTGGTCGGCTCAGCCTCTGGCTTGGTTTCCTCGCCCGAATCCTCGCTGTAGCTCTCGAACTCACTGGAGCTCCAGCCCAAATCCTCACCCGCCCGCGGCCCCTCGCCGCGCTGCACCTCCTCGTAGATCAGGCTGCGCTCCGGCCCCGGGCCTGGCAAGCGAAAACCAGCTCCTTTGCCTCCCAGAGAGACCATTTCCCCTCTCCAAGGACCCACACAGGATGCCCCAAACCCACAGGGCCTTCCAACCCCTCTGGGAACACACCTGCCTTCATCCCTTCCAAAATTTTCCCAGGGTTATCCCCCCCCCCCCCTCCCCATCCTCTTCTAGGATGCGCAGCTCCTTCCCGGAGCGTGCCTCGGTTTGCCCAGCTGTGAAATGGGCTCGTGGGCCCTGAGGAACGGCGAGGGAAGGTCTGTCCCTACCGTCCTGCTTGGCATCGAGGGTTTCGCAGGGGACGTCGTCGTAGATCACGTCGTCCTCCACCGCTGGGAACTCAAAGCGCTCACCTTGGAGGGGACAAAGAAACCCCCCCCAGGGACTCAGATCAGCACCCGAAGATTAAGCCAGGATGGAGAAATCCTCCCCAAGCCTTGGCAGGGTTTGGTTTGTGGGTTTGTTTCCCCCCCACAGCATTTTACCCCACCTCGGTGGCCGCTTTTTCTCTTCCAGGTCTTGGCACCGACGTGGGGGGCTCCTCCA